CGTCATTGTTGTTTGGCGGGTCCGGGCTGGGGTTTTGAACCCGCCACCTTAGGTGTACGTGGCTGGCGCCTTAGCCTTAGCCCGTTGAGCTATAGGCACCAAGCCAGAAAACAGTATTCTTTGCAGTTAATGGAATATCAGGGTTAACATCAGAAGTTAACAAACACTTATGAAAGAAAACATTTGAGGTCATATAGGCTTAGAAAATGCTGATAAATGCCTGTCAAGTTCTTTTAATTTTTTTTTTTTTTTTGAGACAGAGTCTAACTTCGTTGCCCCAGTAAAGTGGTGTGGCATCATAGCTCATAGCAACCTCAAACTCTTGGACCCACATGATCCTCTTGTCTCAGCCTCTCAAGTAGCTGGGGGACTACAGATGCCCACCACAACACCTGGCTATTTTTAGAGATTGGATCTCACTGTTGCTCAAGCTGGTCTCTAACCCCTGAGCTCAAGCAATCTACCCACCTCGGCCTCCCAGAGTGCTTGGATTAAAGGTGTGAGCCACCATGCCTAGCCTCAGCCTCTCAAATTCTTGTTGCAGTTTGGCCAGGGCCAGGTTTGAACCTGCCACCCTTGGTATATGGGGCCGGCGCCCTACCCACTGAGCCACAGGCACCGCCCAGCCTCTCAAATTCTTAAGTGCGACTAAATGCTTTGAAAAATAGCACAGTAAGGAAACCTGTTGAACTTTGGTCACCAAAGCACTGCCCAGGCTTATTGAAATAGAGCTCCCTTTTTGAGAAATACCTGTTAATATCCTATGGCTCTTTTATTTCCCATCTGCCTTTTTCTGCAAGTGCATAATCTCAGTAAGAGTTTGCTTACCTCCCAAACCTTTTGAGACAGGTAAACTCTGGAAACTTGTGTCCCACATAACATTCCATTCTTGCTTTATGATTTTATAATCTGAACTTCTGTTTGCATGCTTGGTCTAACGGATTTATTCTTTCATCTCATGTAGCCCAGTGCATGGAAAGCTAACAGAATGGACCACAAATCAGGATCCCTTTCCTCTAGCCGGGAGTGTGCTTTTACCAATCCAATCTCTGTCACTAAACCAGTGCTACTGGCTGCTGGTGCAGTTCTGAGTTCTCCCAAAGAGGTAAGTGAAGGTAAACCAAGGCAGCCTTTCCTAAGTTGCCGTTTCCCATTTACTTATACTAAGTTATACAGTGTAACATGTATAGCTATTGCACTCTGTTGCAGGTATGCTTAGCTGAGTTGTTTATTTATTAATGTTTTCCCTTATCATCCACAAGTGGGCAGTAGCTGGGTGGAGTAAATGCTGTGGTTAGGCCAAGGTTGTCTTGTGTTAGACTGGTATTCTGCTGCTGATGTCTGTAAAAAGAACAAAGAGGTGCCGTATGAGCCAGCCAGTCTGAACTGTAAAAAGTATGTAAAACTGTAGTCTGTTTAAATAAAAGGGATGTTTGGTAAAATACAGTGATAAATACAATTTTTCAAAATCAGTGCCATTTAGAAAAGTGACCCAGAGAATCCCAGTTCTTGCTCTTCGCTATCAGGAGCAACCTATTTGTGGTATTTGCCCAGAGTCCGTCCAGCATCACCCCTCCAGTTGAGATCAGCTCTTCTCGTCTGACGAAGTTGACCCGTAGAACCACTGACAGGAAGAGTGAATTCCTGAAGACTCTGAAGGATGGCCGGAATGGAGATTTCTCAGACAACAGAGACTGTGATAAGCTAGAGGATGTAAGAGCATAAGAATTTTTCTGGGGAAGCATAGGAGTTTTCCTTTGTCATGTATGTACTTTCTGCTTTGTGAATTCAATACGTAGCAAGATTTTAAAATACATAGAAAAGGCTGGGCGTGGAGGCTCACACCTATAATCCTAGCACTCAGGGAGGCACAGGTGGGTGGATTGCCTGAGACCAACCTGAGCTAGAGTAAGACCCTAGCTGGGCATTGTGGTAGGGACCTATAGTCTCAGCTACTTAGGAGGCTGAGGCAAGAGGATCACTTGAGCCCAGGAATTTGACGTTGCTGTGAACTATAACACCGTGGCACTCAACCCAGGGTGACTGAGACTCTGTCTCAAAAATAAATAAATAATATGTACTGAGATATCTGTTTAGGAATAACAGCCTTCTAGAACCTGTGGCAAAGAGAGTTTTAATCCATTGTTCATATTAGGGGGGATTAGATTTCATATTAGGGGGGATTTTTTGTTTTGTCTTTTGAGAGAGCCTCAAGCTGTCAATCCTGGGTAGAGTGCCATGGTGTCATAGCTCACAGCAACCTTAAACTCTTGGGCTTAAGCAATTCTCTTGCCTCCGCTTCCCAAGTAGCTGGGAGTACAGGTGCTTGCCACAACGCCCAGCTATTTTTTGGTTGTAGTTGTCATTGTTGTTTGGGCAGGCCCAGGCTGGATTTGAACCCACCAGCTCTAGTGTATGTGGCTGGCACTCTAGCCACTTGAGCTGCAGGTGCCAAGCCCCAGTATTAGGGTTTATTTTAATGACTGTTCACCTACTAAAGGACATTTTGGTTGCTTCCAAGTGTTGACAGTTAGGAACAAAGCTGTTGTAAACATCCATGTGCAAGTTTTTGTGTTGGCATATGTTATCAACTCCCTTGGGTAAATACTAAGGGGCACGATTGCTGGATCATATGGTAAGAACATTAAGAAACCACCAGATTGGCTCGGC